GAACACAAGTAGGGGGAGTGGGAGAGGGAGAAGCAGGCTTCCCACTGAGGAGGGAGCCCAGTGCGGGGCTCGATCCCAGGACCCTGGAATCATGACCTGAGCCGAAGGCAGACTCAACCGACTGAGCCACCCAGATGCCCCTAGAGTTTTTTCCTTAACCTTTTTTTTTTTTTTAAGATTTTATTTTTAAGTAATCTCTACACCCAACGTGGGGCTCGAACTTAAAACACCCAGATCAAGAGTCACACTCTCCACTGGCTGAACCAACAGGTGCTCCATAAAAATACAATGTTTAATAGAAGGATTGAAAAACAGAGCTGAGGGGCCCTTGGCTGGCTCAGTGAGTGGAGCACGTGACTCTTGATCTCCAGGTCATGGGTTTGAGACACGTTTTGGGTGTAGAGATTACTAAAAAAAAAAATAAGCTGTTTTTGCAACTACATTTTTAGCCACTGAGAAATATTTGTTTTCTGATTGTTCCTTTTTCATATAGCACCCTCTTCTTGTGTTATGGATGTTTATGAGGGGTTCTCTCTGTACTCTGCATCGTAGTCATACCTCGCAGTTATTGTGGGTTCAGTTCCAAACCACAGCAATAAAGCAAGTCGAATGAGTATTTTGGTTTCCCAGTGCGTATAAAAGTTATGTTTCCATGATACTATAGTCTATTAAGTGTGCAATAGCTAGGACCTAACAGCTTATATGGCTTTAAAAATGCTGGAGCAAAATAAATAAATAAATAAAATGCTGGGGCACCTGGCTGGCTCAGTCCGTGGAGTGTGTGACTCTTGGTCTCCAGGTTATGAGTTCAAGCCCCATGCTTGGAGATTACTCAAAAAAAAAAAAAAAAAAAGGAAAGCTAATCATCATCTGAACTTTCAGCAAGTCATAATCACTGATCCTAGGTCACCACAATAAATATAAATATAGTGAAAAAATTTGAAATATTGTGTGAATTCCCAAAATGTGACATAGAGTCACAAAGTGAGCAAATGCTGTTGGAAAAACGGTGCCGACAGACGCGAGAGTGAAACAGAGTCAATGAGTTATGCATGTGTCTCTGTTTCCTCCAGTCCCCATCTTCTTGTTTGTCTTTCTTTGCATGCTCCTGGTTCTCGTATGCGTGGTGATCATTGGTAATATTTCATAAAGAACTACCAAGGTATCCTGGGTTTCCTCTGCTGGTACGTAAATTATGATATTTTTCCTCTAGGGTTCTCTCTGGTTGGAAATTCTGCCTAGGAAATCTTCGTGGATTAGGATAGGATAAGACACATCGACTGGGGGCGCCTGGGTGGCTCAGTCGATTAAGCTTCTGCCTTTGGCTCAGGTCATGATCCCAGGGTCCTGGGATCGAGTCCTGAGCCCCACTTTGGGCTCCCTGCTCAGCGGGGAGCCTGCTTCTCTCTCTGCTTCTCCTCCTGCTTGTGCTTTCTCTCTCTCTCTGTCAAATAAATAAATAAAATCCTAAAAAAAAAAACAAACGACACATCCACTGAAGAGCTTCAGTTGGGGTGGAGAGGGTTGATTGATGGTCAGCTGTCAGATTGTGGATCACCCCAAAAGCTAGAATAAAAAAACATTTATTCTGGATTGCCAAGGCTTAACTTCCCTCAGACAATTGGTTCAGTTTCTTTGGGGACAAGCTGTCTGCCATTCTGTCCGAAGGAGGGAAATGCCTTCCAGGTGAGGAGCGGAAGTGGGGTCATCAGCTGGTGCTGTTGGCCTGTCTTTGCAGACCTTCACTCATTTCCAGAATTTCACTCCCACCTCTCCCGCTTTCCTTTGCCTGCTGATCGGGGAAATTGCCTCTCCTGGGCAGCCTAAGCAACTAGGCTTGACTGGCAAACCCCCTCCATCTTTGCACTGTTGCTTCTTTCTGTATTCTCTACTTTTCCTGAGGAAGGATTGGAGACAAAGGAGTATGCCTGACCCAGAGTCAGATATCTTGTTTTACTTTCTAATTGTTCCACACACCCAGTATCCAGACAGATGGAGGCCTGTGGTAATGGCTCATTCATCAAACTCAGTGGAAATCGAGGAAGTATTTACCGAACACCAGAGTTCTGTCCCAAAGACAGGGCTTGCTTGTTTATTTATTTTTTATTTTATTTATTTCTATATAATTTCAGTAATCTCTACACCCAACCTGGGGGCTCAAACTTACAACCCCAAGATCAAGAATCTCGTGCTCCACTGACTGAGCCACCCAGGCGCCCCTGCATCGTCCCTTTCTCACGTCATTTGTGTGTACCCCAATAACCCCAACCATAGCTATGAAGCACAGAACAACACGGAGACCCTCTTGTATGAAAAGGAAAGTCACACGTTTGAAGTACAATGAAACTTAAATCAGTGCCATTAAGTTACATAGATCCTGAAAATGATCAGAATTCACTCTGGGCTTTCCACCAAAGTGTCTTGGGCTTCTTCCTTTTCTCCCTGTTACAAATGTCATCCACTAGAATCCCAGATCTGTTCAGTCATTCCAGAAATATTTATCGAGTGCTCCCTGTTTGCCAGACATTGTGCTAGGCACCAAGGATAAACAGAAGAGAAGACATATGTGGTCCCCGTCCCCTCGGAGCATTTAGTTCAATCACCCAACAGATGTTTATTAAACATCCATGATGATCAAGTCGCTGCAGGGTGACAACTGAAGCCACCGGCCGGGGACACTTAGATCTTTGTCGACATGACTATTCTTGGCTTCGCTGGCGTAAATAGTATTCTAAGAGACATTCACCCGGGAAGATGAATGTTGCAAATTAACTTTATTGCTTATTCCAGGAACTTCCTGAAAGACCCATCAACTCTTTAATGGAAAACATCAGCTGACTCTCGGGCACCAGGATAGCTCTGTCTGTAGGTCTGTAGAGCATGTGACTGTTGGTTTCAGGGTTGTGAGTTCAAGCCCCATGTTGGGTATAGAGCTTATTAAAAACAAAACAAAACAAAACATGGGCGCCTGGGTGGCTCAGTTGGTTAAGCAACTGCCTTCGGCTCAGGTCATGATCCCAGGGTCCTGGGATTGAGTCCCACATCGGCCTCCCAGCTCAGCAGGGAGCCTGCTTCTCCCTCTGACCCTATCCCCTCTCATGCTGTTTCTCTCTCTCTCTCTCTCAGATAAATAAATAAATAAAATCTTTAAAAAAAGAGAGAGAGAGAAAAAATAAAAACAAAACAAAAAAACCCCAAACCCCACAATCAATCAGGAGTGCCTTGGCTGGCTCAGTGGGTAGAGCATGCAACTCTTGATCTCTTGGTCATGAGTTTAAACTTCATATTGGGCATAGAGATTACTTAAAAAAAAAAATCAGCTGATTTTCAATAGAAATGTCTGTCAACTGACAATTTACACCTTAACACTGTTTGAGCCCCTCACTTTGCTATGTGAATTCTACATGATTAAACCATAACCCTTACCTACCCTAATCAACCCCTGCTCTTACCCCGGCTTGGAAAGACCTGCTTTAAACCAGACTTCAATGTCTCAATAAATTTTGTGGGTTTGCCCATCTCCCTATGAGGTGTTGTCAGACCTTTGAGGGACAAGCAGTAAACCCTGCTTTGTCTTATCAACAGGTTGTTCTAGTGATATTTGGGGGACCGGCTTTGACAAGGTGCCGGGAACATAGTGAATAAAATCCTCACGGAATTTACATTCTAGACACAGACAATAAGCAGAAACCAGGAAATATGTAATTTTTTTTTTTTAAGATTTTTATTTATTTATTCATGAGAGACAGAGAGAGAGAGAGAGAGGCAGAGGGAGAAGCAGGCTCCCAAGGAGCAGAGAGCCCGATGCGGGACTCGATCCCAGGACCCTGGGATCATGACCTGAGCCGAAGGCCGACGCTTAACCATCTGAGCCACCCAGGCGCCCAGGAAATATGTAATTTTATACTTTACAATGTCGATGGGGAGATAGTAGCCAGGTCGATCATTACAAATTTTGACAGGTGAGAAAGAGAGGGCAACCAGAAGGCACAACGTGGGCAGTTCGGGTCCTCGTGAGAAAAGATGGTCTGGAAAACTCTCCGAAATGACTAACGGGGGAGAGGGTGGTCTGAGTGTGCCAAGTAAGGAGACTGAAGGTGTTGAGACCCTGAGACTGGGAGGGGGCTCAGCCGATTCCAGAACACAAAGGAAACCAACAAGACCAGAAGGCGGGGAGAGGGCAGGGCTGAGCAGAGCCCCAAGGCAGAAGCCTCTCCAGAAGCTTCCTTAGAACCACAGCTTCGCCCGAGCCAATTAGTACTCTTTGCAAGAGTTGCTTTCGGATACTTTCCACTGCAAATGTGCGTAAGTGAACGCTACAGGTTAGATGCATTTTTGAGAGTCTTGCGGTTCACACAAGTGTTCTCACGGCAGAAGGGGTCCAGCTTTGACCCAGTGCACGCATCGGGCTCTTGTAGCGCCCGCTGAACTCACTTAAGCCCTACGCTTAGCGGAAGCGGCCCCTGTGCTTCCAGAGAGGCATTCGGGGAACCCGCCGACCGGGGGCGGGGGCGGAGGCTGGCACGAGGGCGGGCCACAAGCTCGCGCCGTCGAGCGCAGGACGCCGAAGGTTTAATCAACTCCCAACTGATCTGCCGAAAGAAGTGAGCACATGACCCGTGTGAATGATGTCCTCAGGCTCTTTTCCAGTTTCGTGCACGGAAGTACTGTCCTTCGGTGCGGCCGATAAAATCCAAGCGGCCCTCGGCCCTAACCCCGCTGCCGGGTCGTCCCAGTCCGGGGCCCGAAATCGACGGTCGCTCCGGGGGCAGGACTGGCCCCGTCCGAGGCGCGGGGGTCCCGCCGCCTCTCTCTCTCTCTCTCTCTCTCGCCCCCCCTCCTCCGCACCCGGGCCTGGGTGGAGTCCCCGCGCGCGGCGCCCCCGCTCCCGCTCCCCGGCCGGCCCTCCGCGCGCGGGGCCCCTCCCGCCAACCGGGCCCCGCGGGGCTCCTCGCGGGGTCGGCGCGCGGTGCACGCGCTCGGCGGCCCGCTTCGTGCGCGCTCCCCGGCCGGGCGCGCCCGTCGCCCCTCCTTCCCGGCCGCCCGCTCCGCCCGCCGGCTCCGCGGCCCCCGCCCCCGCGGGTCCCGGGCCGGGGGTGGGGGGGCCGCGAGGCAGGCACAGCCCCCCGCCCCCATGGCCGCCCGTCGGAGCCAGAGGCGGAGGGGGCGCCGGGGGGCGCCGGGCACCGCCCTGCTGGCGCCGCTCGCGCTCGGCCTGGGCCTGGCGCTGGCCTGCCTCGGCCTCCTGCTGGCCGCGGTCAGCCTGGGGAGCCGGGCATCGGCGCCCGCCCAGGTGAGGCCCTGCGGCGCAGCCCCCCCGGGGCCGGCGGGGGGCCGAGTCTGCGGAGCGGCGGGCGGGGCCGGGGGGGCTGAGGGCACGGGGCCAGGAAGCTGGGTGGCGGGTGAGATGCCAGGTGGAGAAGGACGGGGTGACGCGGCCTCCTTCCCGGCAGGAGCCTTCCCAGGGGGAGCTGGTGGCGGAGGAGGCCCCGGACCCGCCGGTGAGTGGCCGTGGGTGCCGGGCGCGCGCTGCTGGGCGTGGGGAGTGCGCGCGAGCCGAGGGCGCAGGGTGTGCCCCTGGCCGTGCCAACTGCGTGTGTGCGGGGGTGTGCACCGCCGTGCATGCGTATGTGAGACGGCGAGGGAGGGAGGGTGCCGCTGTGTGGAAGGGGCTTGTGTCGCCTGAGTCCGGAGTGTTTATTGGCTGTGGGTGAAGTGGGGGTATGGGATGGGGGGAGCCTGCCGCCGAGGAGGGATGCTGGTGATGCGTGCACGCGGGCCGGGTGTGGGCGCCTGGGCACTGTGCTGAGCGCGCCGAGGGTCTGTGCCGGTTCTGTGTGGTGGGGGGCCGGGGGGCCCCCAGGACCTGGCCTCCCTAAGACTTGTGTGCCTGGTGCTGGCTGGTGCCTCTCCCGACGAGGGGTGGGGGGGCCCCGTCGGTCTCAGCTTAGTCTCCGGTAGTTCCCGCAAGACCCCCGGTTTAGCCCTGCCCTTAATTCGCCTAGGAACTGAATCCCCAGACAGAGGAAAGCCAGGATCCTGGGCCTTTCCTGAAGAGGCTGGTTCGGCCTCGCAGAAATGGTGAGCATCCCTTTATCCACCCTTCAGGAATAATCGCAGTGGCCAGTCTACAGCGGCTTCTACGCTCCTTACTGCTTTTGTTCATCCTCACAGCCCCACGGAGTGGGCAGAATCAAAACCATCATCCTCACTTATGCTCGGGATGGAGAAACTGAGGCACAGACAGGGTGTGGGGGGGGGCGCGGAGTTCAGAGTCGGGCAGCTATTGGGTTGAGACGCAAACCTAGAATTCTGGACCTCTCTCTGAAGCCCCTCCCATCCCATGGACCTGCTTTTCACTTGAGATGCTATGCCAGATATGGAGGAGGGGATGGCCCAGGGTTAGGAGATGGAGACAAGGTGGGGGAGGCAGAGGCAGAGGCAGAGGCAGGTCCCCGTAAGCAGAGAGGCTTGTGAATGGGATGACCACGTGACTGTGTACAGGTTTGCACAGGACTGTCCCCGCTTACGACTGTTATCTCCCTGCGATTATTAACAGCAACCCTTTTGCTCTCAGAAACAACCCAGTTTGGGTGATAAATGATGCAGTCATTCTGCTTATGGAGGGAGGTCTGGCCTGAGGCTCTGAGGCCAGGAGTCTGGACAAGAATAAGGATGCTGGGGCTCTGAGAGGGAGGCGGGGCCGGGGAGTGGCTCCTGGGCCCCCCAGAGTAAGGGGGCGCTATATTCCCCACATCTCTTTCCTTGATTCGCAGCACCTAAAGGCCGGAAAACGCGGGCTCGCAGAGTCATTGCAGCGCATTATGAAGGTGGGTGATGGGTGATACCTGCCCAGGGAGATGGGGTGGTGGCAGGCCGGGGCAGGTCTCAACAACCCTTTCTTGTGCCTTACAGTTCACCCACGACCGGGACAGGACGGAGCGCAGGCCGGTGAGACGCCATTCCCGCCTCTGAGCTCTCCCCACCCAACTCGCACAGCACTGGCCTCCTGGGAAAAGGGCCCCTCCAAACCTTTCATTTCCCACTGCCCTCCCTGCCTTCAGCCTGGGAACCCCAGAAGCCAGTTCAAGAAGATCCTCAGGGCTTGGTTCTCTCAGTTCCCAAACCTGGTCTCTGTCTGTGACCCAGGCATGAGAACCCAGGCAGACTCCCCGCACCCAACCACCAGCCCTCATGCTTGTGCAAGAAGCACATTTGATTCTTCCCTCTCCGCCCCCCCCACCTCGTCTTCCGTGAGTCTTCACGCTCTGACCATTTTTCTTAAAATGTTTCTACCGGGCTCCTTTTTTTTTTTTTTTTTTTTTAAAGATTCTATTTCTTTATTTGAGAGAGAGAGAACGAGAGACAGAGAGCAGGAGAGGGAGGAGGGTCAGAGGGAGGAGAAGCAGACTCCCTGCCGAGCAGGGAGCCCGATGTGGGACTCGATCCCGGGACTCCAGGATCATGACCTGAGCCGAAGGCAGACGCTTAACCATCTGAGCCACCCCGGCGCCCCTCTACCGGGCTCCTTTTGCATCCCTACCCCACCTCCCATCTCAGCACTAGGATCTCAGAACCGCAAACCCAGTCTCTAACCCCTTCCCCATCCCAGCCCCTCCCCACCCCTTGGCTCTGTCCCACCTATGTTGCCAAGCTAAGGCCCTCCCAACTCACTGTCATTATAACCCTGCTTCTCTGCCTGGCTGCAGCCTCTCCATGGTCTGGTCTCAACCTCTTCTCCCTGCACACTTGGCCTGACACCCCTCCCTGCCAGTGTGCTTCTTCTGGATTTTGCACACACTGTGCCCTCCCCTGGAATGTCCTTCCATGGGACAGGCCAGGAGGCAAGACAGGAGGGTGGCTTGGTCTAGGGGGCCTAGCAGCCAAGATGGAGCCACGTAGCTTGAAGATAGGGCTTGCTTATGGGTTGGATGTGCAGGGGGAAGGCAAGGGAAAGGGATCAGAGTGACTTCTAGATTTTTAACTTGGGCGTCCTTGGGAATAATGATGCCATTTAATGGGGATGGGGTTTCCTGGGGAAGAAATAGGTTGGGAGGTACGTGAATTAAGAATGGAATTTCAGATCTCCTACTAAACCAAGTGAAGTAATAATAAATGAGTGAGTTCCGCAGACAGATGGCTGGGTTAGGATGCCAGCCGTCAGGAACCGTAGCCGTACGGATGGTGTTTAGAGCTCCAGGGTTGGATGAGGCACCAGGGGGCAAGAGGGGCCCCAAGAGTGAGGCCCTGGGGCTGTGAGACATCTAGAAGTGGCGCAGAAGAGGAGAACCCAGCGGAGACTGAGAAGCAGATGGACAGAAGGGAAGAAAGTCGGGGAGGAGAGGGGCCTGTGATCTGAGAGAAGATGCGGTCTCACCAACGAGGGTGTGGCTGTGCTGAATGCAGCTGAGAAGTCACATGATTTGACCATGGGGGTTTGGTAACCTAAAAAGTCAGCTGGTGACCTTGGCCAGGGTGGTTTCAGTGGTGCAGTTAGGATAGAAGCCAGTGTGGACGGGGTGAAGAGAAAATGGGAAAGAGGAATTGGAGTCAGGGACAGCCCTTTCCAGAAGTTTCTCTGGGATGAGCAGAGCAGTGGGCCAGTGGCTGGAGGGAGATGTGGAGGGAGGAAAAATTCAGTCCTTCTGGGGATAAGCAGTACCATAGGGATCTTAGCTAACATTTACTGGATGTCCCGTTCGCCTAGACCTCCTAATGGTCCTAAAAGGAAGATTCTCTGATCAGCTCCATTTTACAGATGGAGGTTACTTACCCTGCCCGAGGCCATGACGATACTCAGTGGCGGGACCAGGATTCGAAGCTCGCTAGAGTGTGCTTGTGTACTGGACATGCCCGGCGCAGGGGTGGGGGGCCCCACAGGGCAGTGTCCAGGACGGGGGCAAGGGGTGGATTCCAGAACAAAGGGAGGGACACATTATCCCATCATCACAAGAGGGTCAGTCGAGAATGTGGGCACAGGTCAGTTTTTGGCTCTGGTCGGGGGAGGCGGGGGAGCCCTTGCCTGACGACTTCTAGATCCCCTGGAGAATGAGGGAGATGGGCAGGAGGTGCGAGGAGCGAGGGTACAAAATCCTTGCCTCGATGAGTACCAGAGCAAGCTCAGTGGGCAAGAGAAGGAGGGTTTCCAGGCAGTAAAGAATGTCCATCTGAGGCTTGTGGTTGTGATGTGGAGGGACCCCGCGGTCCCAGGCACACCATGCCCTTTGGCCACAATCAGCCTTTCCTCCAGCTGGTTCCATAGTGGGGAATGTCCTCCCTCCTCTCCCCCTGCTCTTCATGCCCTGGGCCAGCCCTCCTCCCCTCCCGATGGACCATTCAGTGGAGTAGTTACCCAGACATTCATCCCTCCGCTGCTGAGAACCTGCTGTTTTAACGAGCAGGCTCAGCGCCCACAGGGAATGATACCCAGACCTAGTCTCGAAAGATGACCGTCTAGGAGAGGAGACAAGCATATAAATTTGGGAATCACAGTATGCTGTGACAAAGACAATAAGGAAAGCATCCAGAGGTACACGGTAGCATAGAAGAAGACAAACAACTTTACAACGGAGTCAGGACTCCTTCCCCAAGAAGGCGTCGTGGGCCTTGAAGCATGAATCTAAGATGGACACGGGGTCAAGGACGTTCCAGGTAGAAGGAACCCCTTGTGCCAAAGCCGCGAGTTGGGCAAGAGTATGATGAGCTGCTTAGTGTGCTTGGAGGGAGGTGCTCGCCGACAGGACTGGGGTGCCGTGAGCTTGGAGGAGAATAGGGAGCCAGGCCCCAAAGGGAGTCTGGAAGTCATCCTGAGGTCAAAGCAAGCAAAGGCAGGCTCCCATCCGCGTTTTAGAAGGACGCGTGTAGGGAATAAAGTGGAGCAGGAAGAAGGTGCACAGGGGAGTGGGCCGAGGAGGGAGGCTGAGAAGAATCCCAGCCGGAGTGCCAGGGGCCGGGTGGGGAGGGAGACAGGGCGCAGGGATTGAGGTGGCAGAACAGGCAGGAACTGGAAATCGGGGAATCAAATGGGTTACGATGAGGGAGGGCTGGGGAAGGCGCGGCCGCTGAGCGAGGCCCAGGAGAGCAGGGGGTGGATCCAGACAAAGCCAGAGCTCTGGGCCCTGTTGGCCGCCCCCTCTGGCCTCCCAGCGGTGTTCGCTGGGCGCCCACTCGGAGCAGGCCCGGCGCTGCGTGCCACACCACGGTGGTGAATAAGACCGTGCTGGGACCCCACACTTGCACCTCAGTAAATCAGCCGATGGATTTCCCGGGTGAAGGAAACAGGGTGGCGTGGGGAAGAGATGACAGGCAGGGCTGGGACTGGCTGTTTGGAACTGGGGGCCCAGGGAAGGAAGGCTGTCACTGAGTCGGGATCTGAAGGGAGAAAGGTGCTTGGTGTGTGCAGGGGCGGGGTGGGGCGGGGAGGGGGGCAGGAAGACAGTGGGAGTCCTGTGATAGACCGGGTGGCCCGGGGAGGACCCGGGAAGCCACCTGAGCTCCTGCTCCATCGTTCTATTATTCATCTTCTTGGCCACGACCTTGGCTCTAGGTTTTTTTAATTTTTTGGTACGGTTTTATTGAGCTATACTTCCCATACAATTCACCCACGTAAAGTGTACCATTCGGTGGTTTTTAGTCTTAGTCTGGTCACACAGTTGCCGCCATCAGCATGGGAAGATACCCCGTAGCCTGTAGTCAGCACCCCTGTTTCTCCCCCACACGCCCCCAGCTCCAAGCACCCACCGATCTACTTTCTGTCTCTCTGTATTTATTATCTGGAAATTTCATAGAAATCACATAATATGTGGTCCTTTGGGACTGGCTTCTTTCATTTAGCGTAATGCTTTCGGTTCGTCCACAGGGTAGCATTTTTCTTTTTAATGGCTGAATAATATCCCGTTCTTTTTTTTTTTTTTGACAGAGAGAGACATAGCGAGAGAGGGAACACAAGCAGGGGGAGGGGGAGAGGGAGAAGCAGGCTTCCCCGCAGAGCAAGAAGCCCGATGCGGGGCTCGATCCCAGGACCCCGGGATCATGACCTGAGCCGAAGGCAGACGCTTAATGACTGAGCCACCCAGGCGCCCCAATATCCCGTTCTTAATCCAAGTACTGTACAATTCGAGTGCGGGACGTAGACATTCTCAAAAGAGGCAAACAGCAGAGACACAAAATACCAAAGCCCCCCCCCCCCCCCCCCCCCCGGCGCTTCTCCTTCCATCTGGCTCTTCTCCCCAGAAGTGGCGGGTGACACCTTGCTCCTTACCGCCCTGGTCACAGACACGTGTAAACGCCGCACATCTTCACGCACACTTCCTGTTACACCACGGGCTCCCCCCTGGCCCCGCACCCATCTCTGCATCTTCTGGGTAAAGGGGGCCCCCGAGCCTTATGTACTGAACGGGTCCCCGGGGAGTGTGAGAGAGTCCTGATCTCTGATCACCACCCTTCAGGTGTGGACGGCACGGTGAGCGGCTGGGAAGAGGCGAAAATCAACAGCTCCAACCCGCTGCGCTATGACCGCCAGAGCGGGGAGTTTCTCGTCGTGCGCGCCGGGCTCTATTACCTCTACTGTCAGGTAAGGCCCACCTGGCTCCACGGTACAGCGGGGACTGCGGGTCTGGGGGGCCGGGGGCGAGCCAGCGCGGGGAGGGGAGCTCAGGGCTGGGGCCCGATGGGCCCCCTGGGGGGCCAAGGCTGCTGGAAATTGAGGCGCGGCCAGCAGAGGCCTGGACTCTGCCGCCTCCCGCCCGCCCGGCAGGTGCACTTTGACGAGGGGAAGGCTGTCTACCTGAAGCTGGACTTGCTGGTGGATGACGCGCTGGCCCTGCGCTGCCTGGAGGAGTTCTCGGCCACGGCCGCCAGCGCCGTGGGGCCCCAGCTCCGCCTCTGCCAGGTGTCTGGGCTGTTGCCCCTCCGGCCGGGGTCCTCCCTGCGGATCCGCACCCTCCCCTGGGCCCATCTCAAGGTCGCCCCCTTCCTCACCTACTTTGGACTCTTCCAGGTTCACTGAGGGGCCCTGGTGGCGCCCCCACCGCGGCTGTCTCGGTGCGCCCCTCCCCCCGTGCGCCCCCCTCCTCCCCCGTTCCCCCCCCACCTGCCCGCCCTCTGCAGGCTGCTTGGACTTGTTCACGTTTGTTTCCACGCCACATAGATAACCCCCTTCTCCTCTGACGCCCCCCCTCCACCTCACTAGCTCCTGAACCCCTAGTCTTCCGTCGCCCCCATTAATCTCCTGACCCCTGCCCTGGCCACAACCCCCCAGGACACTGTGTCTACTCTACTCTGGGTGAGGATGGGTCCCCAATCCCCCCCACCTTCAGGCACTAATAGGAGCTGGATGCCAGGGAGCCTGGGACTAGGCCGGGAGTTCCCAAATGCGAGGGCTAAGAGCAAGCCAAGCTCCTTCCCTGATAATTCCCTGTGGATTTTTAAGAAGCAGATATTATTTTTATTATTATTGTGACAAAATGTTGATAAGTGGATATTAAAGAGAATAAACCACGGTCTCTCTCTTCCTTGGGGCTTAGGGAACATTTCTCAGGGTAGTGGAGGGCTACGGGAAGGGGGTCTGGGCATCCAGGAGTGGGGTGCGGGAGGGCTGGGATGCCAGGGCAATGTACGGGCTCGGGAGTGGGGACCCGCCTGCCTCTGACCCCTGAGGCATGAGCAGAGAGTGGAAAGGCAAACTGCCAGAAAAAAAAAATCAATCCTCTGCCCAAGGTCCAGCAGAAGCTGCCTCATTTACCTAGGAGGCGGGCTTCCTCCTGCTGGTAATCCCTGGCTGGGAGGAGCAGGGGCCCTTCCTCTTGGCAGCCTCGGGACATTCAGTGGGGCTGCCACCAGCCCTGGCTGGGATGTGGGGTGGGAGCAGGCCCGAAGGGGAGCTCAGGGTCAGGAAGCAGGATGCGGGAACCGGGAACATGGGAACCCGGGGCCCTGGGTCCAGGGGAGGAATCCTACAGTGGTAGGGTGCTTGGGGCTGTCTCTTTCTCTCTCTGACCAGGGCCTTATGTAAGAGCTCTTCTCGGGAAACAGGAAGTTCTCCTTGCCAAGTTCAGCACAGGGAGTAGTACTGGCCTATTCCAACACACCCGGCCTGGCCTTAACCCCAGAACTCAGCCAGTTTCTTGCTTCCGCGACCCTGGTTCTCCTTCCCATCTACCCGCCGCCCCCCCCCGCCCCTCCTTTTCCACCTTCAGTCATACCCAAAGATCTCTCTTGTGGCTGAGCCAGAGGGTCTTTACCCCCTCACCCCTGGACCCCCAAGGCTGCCCAGCATGCCCCTTCATGCCTGCTCTTGGCACCATGCCCCGGAGCCAGCCACCCTTCCCTCCCCCACTTCTGGGGCCGTCCCAGGGTTCCTGTGCTCGGCCGCTCCTCCTGGGTGTCACTGGCAGTCCTGTCCTTCCTCAAGAGACTGGGACCAAGTCCTCCTGAGGCTGGAGGAGGGTGTGTGTGTGTGTGTGTGTCCGGAGGGGGCGTCTGGAGACAACACTGGCCCCACGGCGGGGTGCCAGGAGCACCAACAGTGCCCCTTGCTGGCTCTCCTCCTCCCTTTTTAATTCTCAAGTTCCTTTTTATTCCTCCCTTGCGTAACGCTCTTCTTCCCTTCTGTACCCCCACCCTCCCCACCACCTCCCCGCCACCCCACTCCTGAGGCTGCAGCCTTCGGCAGGGTCCCCAGCTCATGCCAGCCTCGTCTCCTTCCTTGCTAGCCCCCAAAGGGCCCCCGGGAGACATGGGTGGCCCGGCCCGAGAGCCGGCACTCTCAGTCGCCCTCTGGTTGAGTTGGGGGGCAGCTCTGGGGGCTGTGGCTTGTGCCCTGGCTCTGCTGACCCAGCAAACAGAGCTGCAAAATCTAAGGAGAGAGGTGGCTCGGCTGCAGAGGGCCGGAGGGCCCTCCGAGAAGGAGGAAGGGCATCCATGGCTGAGCCTCCAGGAGCAGGTGAGTGAGGGGAGAAGGGAGTGGGGGAGAAGAGTTTGGGTGCCAGGGCCATCTTGGGGCCTCCTGGGTCTAGCGTCGTGGTCTGTAAAGTTTTGAGTAGGTGCAGGAGAGGGTCCCAGGTTTGGAGGTCAAGGGGGCAACCATTCCAGGAAAGGAAATTGTTAAAGATTAATGCTTCTCATGCCTACCAGATCCTGGAGGACAGCCAGCACCAAGACTCAGGTCGCTGGGGAAAAGTGCATGAGTGATGTGAGGCGCTCCTGGGGCTGGGGAGTGGGGAGGCGGGGCGGGGCTGGGAGGAAAAGCTGTCGGGGGACCCTTGCTTCTTAGCCTAACCCTGACCCTCTTTCCATGAACAGAGCCCTGATGCCCTGGAAGCCTGGGAGAATGGGGAGAGAGCCCGGAGAAAGAGAGCAGCGCTCACGCATAAGCAGAAGAGTGAGGCCTCCGGGGAGCGGCAGGGGTGGGAGGTGATCAAGCAGCAGGGGGATCTGGAGATTGTTCCCCGGAGCCAGGGGGAGGGGGGAGGGGACAGGTGGGCATTGCTTAGATCTCCTTCTTCTTTCCTCAGAGAAGCATTCCGTTCTGCACCTTGTCCCCATCAACATCACCTCCAAGGGTGAGCACTACTTTAAATAATGGCTCTGGGGGAGGGGCAAGATCAGGGAACTTTGGGGCTGACACCTGGGCCCAAGAGAATCCTAGCAATGAAAAGTCTCTGAGAATGCCCAGAAGTCCTGATTGCCATACTCCTCACCTCCAGAGGACTCCGATGTGACGGAGGTGATGTGGCAACCGGCCCTTAAGCGTGGGAGAGGTCTGGAGGCCCAAGGATATGTTGTTCGAGTCTGGGACGCTGGAGTCTATCTGCTGTATAGTCAGGTAATCCCACACATACCCTAAGCCTCGACTGGGGGCCATGGGGTCTGTTCTCCCAGGGCCTGGATGCCCTGGTACTGAGGGTTCCCAACGCCTCTGTTCATACCAAACTTCGAAGACCCTCCTTCCTTCCTTGGCTCCGTCATCCAGGCTCCGGAGGCCTCCCAGCCCTGAGCCATGCTTTCTCACTTCCTTCAGCTTCTCCTCCATCCCCTGTCAGGTCCTGTTCCATGATGTGACTTTCACCATGGGTCAGGTGGTGTCTCGGGAGGGCCAGGGAAGGCAGGAGACTCTCTTCCGATGTGTCCGAAGCATGCCCTCCAACCCGGACTGGGCCTACAACAGCTGCTACAGCGCAGGTGAGAGCCCCGTGGGCAGTGGAGGGCAGGTGTGAGAGGAGCAGGGTGTCTGTGACCCCCGGGGGGCCGGAAGCCTGGGTGGACAGGTGGATCTGGGGGATGCAGGCCAGGAAGCAGGAGGAAGGCTGAGCCGGAGAAGGGAGGAGAGGCACCAGAGAGTCTGCGGGACTGTGCTTCACGGAGTGTGTATTTTCTCCGTTTCTCAGGTGTCTTCCACCTACACCAAGGGGATATTCTGAGTGTCACCATCCCCCGGGGGAGGGCGAAACTCAGCCTCTCTCCGCATGGAACCTTCCTGGGGTTTGTGAAACTGTGATTAGGATATGGATGGTGGTGTTGAGCTCGGAAGATGAGGGTGGGTACAAATCGGAGACAGCCAAGAGCGAATAGGAGCGGACGCCTCTTCTGGGTTTGACGCGAACCCTGGGTTTGCTCATCAATCTCCGCTCCTCCCTTTTCCCGACCCACCCCCACCCCGTAGACTTTGATTTCACGGATATTAAAGAGGTGTATATCTTGCTTTTGTCCCCCAACCAGCCCCACATTCTCGAGGGGGGGCGGGGGGGGTGGGCAATGTCAGGCCTTATCTGGACCCACTTTGGGTCCCACTGGAACGCTTCCAGAACAGCACCACCACCTAGCGGCAGTTTGAGAGAACCAGCCTGCGTGTTGGCACGAGTCCACGAAGCCTCCCTCCACTCGGGAAGACTCGTGGTCCCCTGTGCCACACCTCTCCCCAGGTACCCGCTGCCTCCTCGCTCCACAAGAAGCCTAATCCCCACTTCTCTCCCCGGCGACGGGGCCCCAGTTTCCAGCACGGTCTCCGGGGGTGTGTTTACTAGGCGGCCGTCTGCAGGGGAGGCCCGACGACGACGGTCCCTTTGCAGCCCCATTACTGCTCGGGTGCCAAGTTCTGCCCTTCCTGCTCTCCACGCCCCTGGCGTAGCGGGCCCCTCCAAGCCCCTCTGGGCGGGGACGGGGGTCTGGGGAGCCTTGGGGAAATCGTGCGCCCTAACGCTGGTCTGCCTTCACTCCTCTGGGCTCTTTCTGCTCGAGACCTGTTTGGACTGAAATAAAAGAATGAACGACTTCCATTCCCCTCGCTGCCTTGCCTAGCCCCGGGATCTCCCTGCCCTCCCGGCTCTCCCGCGGCGCGGCCCTCGGGACCCAGGTTCCGCGGGCCCCGAAGTTCGGGCCCGCAAGCGCCCGGAAGGGGCTACGCGGCGGGACACGCAGCGTTGGCGGGGGGGGGGGGGGGGGTTGGACACGCAGGCGCAAACCGGAGAGAGGCGGGCCCTCGCGTGGCCCGGAGCAGCGGGAGTGCGCAGGCGCAGCCCCGCCCGGGGCCGGGGGGCGGGACGGTCCCTTGGCGTCCACGCTCTCGGGTAGGCGGGACTAGGCGCGTGCTGGCCGCGCCGGCGCTGTTCGCCGGGTGTGACGTACAAATCGTGCGCCGCCAGCGCCGGTGGGCCTGGGGCTCGCGGGAGGGGAAGGAGGAGGAGGAGGAGGGGGAGGTGGTGGAGGTGGAGGCTGAAGCAGAGCAAGACGCGGCCGCGGCGGGGCGGCTCGGCGGCGCGGCGCGCGGCCCAGAAGCGTTGGAATCCTGAATTGAGAGGGCTGCGCCTGAAGACAGCAGGAGTGGCGGGGCCGCCGCCGTCGCCGGAGAGATGAGCCGGGAAGCTTGAGGCCGGAGACGCCCGCCCTCGGGCCCGTCCGCCCGGCTTCCCCGCTCCCGGTGAGGACGCCCCCTACCCTTCCCCCAGCTCTGCCGCGGCCTCTCCCAATCCTGGACCTCATTCCCACCTAACGGGGGCCCAGGAGGCCCTCGAAGGGGCTTCTTAAGGCCCTCGGGCGCCCAACTGTCCTGAGCCTGTGGGACCAAACCGGTGTGGGACGCATTCTGGCCCCCGGGAACGGAGCAGGCGAGGGGGGCTGGGCCAGCCTGGCTCACGCGGCTCCGTTCTGTCCCAGCGCCTTGATCCGGCCGCCTAAGCACCGATTGGGTTCTCGTTCAGTTTCCTTTAACATTCTTCCGTTTTCGTTAGATTTTGCTCCTTGAACCGTAGCCCTGGGATCCCCATTCCCTCCTGAGACCTCCTGAGACGACCTGAGCATGCCCATCCCCTCCCCACCCAGCGCCCCATTCATTCCAAGGTGGTAGAGAACTCTCTTTCCACTCTAGACCACGGTTTCCTTGTGGAAGTTGTGTCTTCCTCAGCTGTCTCTGTATCATGTCGGGATTCTCGTGCTGAGCCATGCCCCTCATTAGGTGCTCAATTAGGATACCCCTGGTGGTCTCCAGTAGAGAAGTAGAGCCTGAAAATACTGGGTTTGACCTGGGGATCTGAGAAATAAGATCCCGGAGGCTTGCTGCTCTGCCATATTCTCCCTTGCTTCCATCTGGTCAGGGGAAGGATGATGACACAGACTCTAAAGGGCCCCTTGTGGACCATGTGAACCGAGAAGATCGGCAAACTGTAGGAGTTTGGCGTTTTTTCCCCCTCTCTCCTTAGATTATTTGCATCTGATGCCAGAGAAGGCATGCTGAGGAAGAGAGGCAAGATCCTGGGGTTCAGGGTGTTTGGATTCTGACACTCTGACCATTGTTTTACAGGCTACTGGAAGATGAAAGAGACTATACAAGGGACCGGGTCTTGGGGGCCTGAGCCTCCTGGACCTGGCATAGCCCCAGCTTACTCAAGTCCCAGGCGGGAGCGTATTCGTTGGCCCCCACCCCCCAAACCCCGACTCAAATCAGGTGGAGGGTTTGGGCCAGATCCTGGGTCAGGGACTACAGCGCCAGCCAGACGCCTCCCTGTCCCTCGGCCCTCTTTTGATGCCTCAGCTAGTGAAGAGGAGGAAGAGGAGGAGGAGGACGAGGATGAAGATGAGGAAGAGGAAGTGGCAGCTTGGAGGCTGCCCCCCAGGTGGGGTCAGCTGGGAGCCTCCCAGCGGCCGCGCCCTCCCCGCCCTACTCATCGAAAAACCTGCTCACAGCGCCGCCGCAGAGCCATGCGAGCCCTCGGGATGCTGCTCTACTCAAAAAGCACCTCGCTGACATTCCACTGGAAGCGTTGGGGGCGCCACCGGGGCCGGCGGCGGAGCCTTGCACACCCCAAGAACCATCTTTCACCCCAGGAAGGGGGTGCGACACCACAGGTGCCATCCCCCTGCTGTCGTTTTGACTCCCCTCGGGGGCCACCTCCGCCCCGGCTGGGTCTGCTAGGTGCTCTCATGGCTGAGGATGGGGTGAGAGGGTCTCCACCAATGTCCTCTGGGCCCCCAGTGGAGGAAGATGGCTTAAGGTGGACTCCAAAGTCTCCTCTGGATCCCGACTCCGGTAAGGTGGGAATGGGTGGAGGGAGAGGGTGGGGAGGATCAGGAGCCTCTTGAGGTGGTGACAGCTGGGCCTAAAGCTAGTAGGATGGCAGAGTGAGGGGGTCCAGAATAGCCGTGAAATGTCTTAAGCTCCACTTCGAGCAGGAACTAAGTCTGGGGAGATAGTCAGTCAAGGCTGGGACACAGAGTCCCTAAGTAGGTGTTCTGTGTACAGATGAGAAAGGGAGGCGTGGTTTACAGAAGTCAAGCAGCCTCATACACTTAAAATCCCTCTTCGTTTGCCCTTTTAGAATAGAGGGGCACGTACATCTGCAAAGGGTGCCATCTTCGAGTGGTGGGAAGGGATTTCTCTGAGGAGTGGACTGCATCACCAGTACGGCTGTGTGTGACAGTCTCGCTCAGAATGTCTCTTTCGGGGCCTCTCAAGCGAACAATCTCCGGCTGTGTTTTTATGAATCACTGGAGTATTTATCGAACGTTTGCGGGGTACTGTACTAGGAGCCAGGTGTATAGTGCTGATAAGTTATCTCTGAAATTCAGATCTCCCTGAATCTTAGTCTTGTTCTGCTTCTGCCCTATGAGTAGTACGTCTTTTCTGTTCCTTTACGACCTCTCAGACGTGCTCATTTCATGCTTGAGGTTTCCATTCCTTAGAGTTTATATTGGTATCGTGTGGGTCGTTTAATCTCATCCCATCGTTCTTTGATCCGAGCCCCATCCTGTTTCCCCTGTCCTACAGGCCTCCTCTCCTGTACTCTTCCCAATGGCTTTGGGGGACCCTCCGGGCCAGAAGGGGAGCGGGGTCTGGCACCCCCCGATGCCAGCATCCTCATCAGCAATGTGTGCAGCATCGGGGACCATGTGGCCCAGGAGCTGTTTCAGGGCTCCGATTTGGGCGCTGCGGAAGAGGCAGAGCGGCCCGGGGAGAAAGCCGGCCAGCACAGCCCCCTGCGGGAGGAGCATGTTACCTGCGTACAGAGTAAGGGACCCAGAGGGCCCAGTCTCTTTCTCGCAGCCAACTCCTAAATTGAAGTCTGGAGGCCTCACCCCTCTCCTCTTTTCCTCCGCTCAGGCATCTTGGATGAATTCCTTCAAACTTACGGCAGCCTCATCCCCCTCAGCACTGATGAGGTAGTAGAGAAATTGGAGGACATTTTTCAGCAGGAGTTCTCTACGCCTTCCAGGTGAGGCATGAAAGAGGGCTGGGACCTGAGGGGAGGCGAGAATGCTGCTGCCTTTTCTCCCATAGGGACGTGTTGGGGAGAAGGAGGAAGGTAGGACTGAAGGGAGGAATCTGCAGGCCGAGTGCCAAGCCCCTGTAAGCTGACTGGGGTGGGGGTGGGGTCTTTACCTGAGACCCCAAAGTACTGTGTATACCTGCTACTTGAGTGCCTCTTTCTGGAGACTGGGCCGTTAGCAGGTCCTCAAAAGGACACATGACCCAAGAAACGGATTAGTGTGTGTTTGTTGTTTGAACTAGGCTCCATGCTCAGTGTGGAGCCCAGTGCGGGCCCTTGAACTCAGGACCCTGAGATCAAGATCTGAGCTGAGATCAAGAGTCAGACGCTCAACTAACCGGGCCACGCAGGTGCCCCAGAAAGGATTAGTTTAGATTCTTACTCCGAGCAGTAGAAAGTACTCCTGCATGCCCAGCCCCCTCAGCTCCTGTGTGACTCCACCCTTGGCCTCCTCAGGAAGGGCCTGGTGCTGCAGCTCATCCAGTCGTACCAGCGGATGCCGGGCAATGCCATGGTGAGGGGCTTCCGAGTGGCCTACAAGCGGCATGTGCTGACCATGGACGACCTGGGCACCTTATATGGACAGAACTGGCTCAATGACCAGGTGAGGAGCAATGGAGACACGGGCCCCAAAGGGGATTTAGGGAGCAGGGTGTCTGGGGCCCTCTGTTTGGGGGAGCCCTGTACCCATGCTGCACTCTCCATGGCAAGTTGCCTCCCGTCTTCTCCCCAGGTGATGAACATGTATGGAGACCTGGTCATGGACACGGTCCCTGAAAAGGTAGGCCTCACCGGTACCTCGGTCCCCAGAAGAATGTCTGCAGTTCTAAGCAGCGTTTTCAGTCCCTTGTATCACTTGATCCATAAAGAGGATCTTTGTTTTTGGGGAGAGGAGGTAGGAGGCAGCCTGTTAAAGTCAAATCTGTAATTTTTTTTTATTATT